AGGACTCCTTGCGAACATGGTTCGAAGGTCCGTAGCCATTTTGGCTCAAGCGCGGACTCCACGTGTCCGAGACTGGAAACTGCTTTAGTGGGGGGGCAGGCTAACAGCGCTTGCAGGTGTGGAGCCATGGCTCCAAGTTCTGGAGGCGACCGGGGCCTAAGGTCCCTTTGTGCGTTTGAAAGATGGATGAAGAAAGAATTGCGAGCTATGGCTCAAATTGGGGAAGCTGACCTCATCCCACTGTGGGGTCGCAGACACGGGGAACAATCTCTGAAGCAGATTGTGCAGAGGGCTTTTACGAAAGATGAGCACACAGTTCGTGAGGCCACGAGCTGGTGTGCAGAGGCGAATTTTGATAAGGTTGGATGCGGCCGGCGCAGCCGGCGTCAGTGGTTACACTTGAACATGCAGAAGCAGATTTCCATGTCACGGCACGCATTTTCACATGGGCTCGCGAATGTCCATGGTTGCAAGTTGTGGAGCTGTGCTTGGATGAGCGGCTTTTCTTTTGGAGCTGTTTGTCCGTGCGAGCCTGTCGCCAAGCAGCAGGCGGAGGGTGTTGAACGGAACTGTCCGACCATTGAGCAAGTCACAGCGGCCTTTCTTCATGAAACCGAACCAGCTGTGGGTGCAACGGATGGTCCCGATGGTTTTGCAGAGCGAGACTTTCACGGCTTGCAGGCTTTGCTTTCGCGCTTTGGTTGCCCGTGCAGTGTGGTGCAGCATGAGCCTTTACCATGCAGTGCGGTGCAGCAAGAGCCTTTCCCTTGCAAAGTGGTGCAGCAAGAGCCTTTCCCTTGCGTTTTGGTGCAGCAAGAGCCTTTCCCTTGCAGGTCGGTGCAGCAAGAGACTTTCCCTTGCGTTTTGGTGCAGCAAGAGCCTATCCCTGGCAGTTGTAGACTGGTGCAGCCAGAGCCTATCCCTTGCAGTTTGGTGCCGCATGAGCCACACCCATGCTTTGATGCTGATTTTGAGCCCTGGGCTGCCGGGTTTTACTTCGATCTCACGAGGTTTTGTGATGACTTGTCTTGTGATGAGGAATGTCATAACCCACTTCTTGGAGAGAGAATCGGAGAAGCCGCCCATCCGGGGCCTGTCGATGCTGGCGATGCGCAGCAGATCGGTGTTGTCAGTGAGCCTGTATGCCATTGCCGGGACTTAAAAGGTGAGCTGCTTGAAGGGACCTTTGACGCGCCTCAGCTGCTTCAAGGGACCGGGCCCGAGGACCAGTGACTGGCCCCCTGAAGTGCCAGACACGCAAAAGACCCAAAGGGCTAAGAATATGCTGCAGAGCGATTCAAGAAAAGATCAAGAGGCCTTGAGCCCACAAGAGTACGGGGAAGGGACCCGAGGACCCTGCCCGAATACCGGCCAGTGCTTGCGCAGGCCCCCCTGCTCCCGCCTCCCCGCAGTGTGCCCAGCCATGGATTCGATGCGAGGAGGCCACTTTGAGGAGCTCAAGGGTGGCTTCGCTTTGGACAAGGAGGTGTGCCAAGGGGCCGTGCCTCCAGAGGTGTATCGGGCGTGCCCTGGTTTGTTTGGTGAGCTTTGTGAGTTCGGGGTCGAGTGTAGTGAAGGACGTGCCCCTGTTCGTCCATGCTGCGTTGTTCACTTGCAGTGCCAATGCCACCGCCCGGTTTCCCCCCTCAGGTTTAGTCCTGCGGTCCCCTCCTGTAGGCCGTTCAGACTTGCGCCCGAGGATGCATGTTTAGGTCATGAATCTGGGGTCAATTGGAACCATGCTTGCACTTGTGACGATAAATCCGTAGTTGCTTGCATTGGAGGTGATGGCGAGAGCAGTGGAGTGCAGCCAATTTCAGTGTTTTTGCCACTTGCGCAGCCTTTTTTCGAGCGAAGCCTCTTTGTGGCACTGACCGGTTCGGCCCCTTGCTCGAAGCCGTGGATCTCGGATGGAGCTCGTGCTTTGCAGCTAGCTCGAGGCATGAATGGGACCGACTTTGTCAGTAAATTTCTCAACTCCAACCCGGATGCAGCACCGATGCTGGTGTCGGCGCTCTTTCGTGCAACAGCATGCTTGGCCAATCACCCCCATGGCGTTAGTGTTGTCAGCGAGCCTGTATGCCATTGCCAGGACTTAAAGCTCAGTTCGACTGTTGATGTGCTGTTGAGCTGCTTGAAGGGACCCTTAGCGCGCCTTACCGAGCATCGCTTCGACTGCAGGGTTGCGCAGGCTGCCTTACGAGAGGCAACGCCAGAGCCTCAGCAGTGTTTAGCTTCGGAGCTCCAGGGCCAAGTCATCAGCATTTGCCAGCACCTTCATGCCAATTTCGCATTGCATTTGTGCTTTGAGCTGCTGGAACCTCATTTTGATGCAGTCTCAGTCACAGTTCGAGTTTGTGATTGCAGTGTCGTGCAGAGGTTGATTGAGCACTGTTTATGTGAGCCACAACTCATCGTTGAAGATGTCGAGAAACTGCTTGCCAAACAGGTCGACTCGATCCCATGCCCAACGTCGCGGATCTCGGATGTACCTTGTCGAGGCCTGAACGGGACCGACGTTGTCTGCAAATTTTTCAGTTCCAACCCCGATGCAGCGCCAATGCTGGTGTCGGCGTTCGTCCGCGAAGTAGCATACTTGGCCGGTCACCCCCATGACACTGGTGTTGTCAGTGAGCCTGTATGCCCATGCCAGGACCTAAAGCTCAGTTCTGTTGTCGATGCGATGTTGAGCTCCTTGAAGGGCTCCTTCGTGCGCCTTACCGCCCTCCGTTTCGGTTGCAGGGTCGCGCAGGCTGCCTTACGAGAGGCAACGCAGGAGTTTCCGCCGTGGTTAGTTTCGGAGCCCCAGGGCCAAGACCCCAGCATCTGCCAGCACCTTTCCTCAAAGCTGCTGATCTCGGATGTAGCTTGTGTTGCAAAACTCGCCCGAAGCTCGAATGGGACCCACTCCCACGGCGGCGGTGTTGTCAGTAAATCTGTATGCCATTGCCTGGACTTAAAGCTCAGATCTGATGTCGATGCGCTGACAAGCCCCTCGAAAGGTTCTTTGGTGTGCCTTGCCACACACCGTGTCGGCTGCAGTGTCGCGCAGGCTGCTTTGCCTACCCAACAGGCCGATTCGACCCTGTACCCGAAGCCGCGAATCTCGGATGTAGCTTGTGTTGCAAAGCTCGCCTGCAGCTCGAATGGGACCGATGTTGTCAGCAAATTTCTCAGCCCCAACCCCACTGCAGAGCCAATGCTTGTGTCGGATTCTCTCCCTGCCGTTGCGTGCATTTCCAGTCACCCCCGCGGCGACGGTGTTGTCGTTGAGTCTGCATGCCATGGCCAGGACTCACAGCTCAGCCTTGACGTCGATGCGATCTCGGGCTCCTTGAAGGGCTCACTGGTGCGCCTTGCCAAGCACCGTGTCGGCTGCAGGGTCGCGCAGGCTGCTTTACGAGATGCAAGTGTGCGTGCAGTGAGTTTTGCAGAGCCTAGCCAGCAGGTGCCTCCTCAGGTGCAGGTGTATCCTTGGCCCTTTGTTTGCATGCCCCCTGCTGCGTGTTCCGAGCCTGAGGTGATCTTCTTGCCTTCCGAGGTTCCTGAGGTGCCTTGCAGCCTCCTTGAGGCTCCTGTCAGGTGTAGAGGTGCTCGCCAAGGAAGGTTTCCGAGCGTCAGGCCAGGCTCGCGTTGCCCACAGGTCCCAGATGCCACGGATTCCAGTTGCAGTGTGGAGCTCACAGGATCAGAGGTCACAGGTGCCGAAGGTCCCAGGTGCAATGCAGAGGTCCAAGGTGCCGAAGGCCCCAGGTGCATTGCAGAGGTCACAGGTGCCAAACGTCCCAGGTGCATTGCAGAGGTCCGTGCAGAGCTCTCAGGTGCCGAAGGTCCCGCGTGCGTTGCAGAGGTCACAGCTGCCAGAGGTCCCAGGTGCAGTGCAGCAGTCCCAGAGTCTCTGCAGTGGCTGGTTTCGGAGCTCCAGGGCCAAATCCTCAGCAGTTGCCGGCACCTTCATGCCAACTTCGTGCTGCATGTGTGCATTGAGCTGCTTGAGCCTCACTTTGATGCAGTCTCAGTCGCGGTTCATGTTGGTGATTGTCATGCCCTGCGTTGGTTGATTGAGCACGGTTCATGTAAACCACAACTTACCCAACCTGTTGTTTCCCTCCCGGGCATCGTTGAAAAGGTTGAGAGGCCGCTCACCCAACAGGCCGAATCGACCCTGTGCCCCAAGCCGCGTATCTTGGATGTAGCTTGCGTTGCAAGGCTCGCCAGCAGCTTCAATGGGACCGATGTTGTTAGCACATGTCTCGGCCCCAACCCCAATGCAGTGCCAATGCTGGTGTCGGACTCAACCGCATTAAAAAATGCCAAACTGCATAGCCTGAAGGGCAAGACTGCATTTTGCCAGATTTGGCAAAGATCAGGCAAAATGACTTTCGGCCAATTGACCCCTCAATTTCTCAGCTCCAACCCCGATGCAGCGCCAACGCTGGTGTCGGCCGCCTTCCCTGAAGGGGCATGCTTGGCCAGTCAACCCCACAACGATGGTGTTGTCGCTCAGCCTGTATGCCATGGCCAGGACTTCAAGCTCCGTTCTGCTGTCGACGCGATGTTGAGCTCCTTGAAGGGCTCATTGGTGCTGGTTTCGGAGGTCCAGGACCAAGCCCTCAGCAGTCGCCAGCACCTTCATGCCAACTTCGTGATGCACCTGTGCATCGAGCTGCCGGAGCCTCACTTCGATGCAGTCTCAGTCGCAATTCATGTTCTTGGTAGCCGAGTCCTGCAGTGGTTGATTGTGCACGGCTCATGTGAGCCACCACTTATCCAGCTAGCTGACTCCATGCTGGACATCGTTGAAAACGTCGAGAAGCTGCATACCGTTCAGGCCGATGCGACCCTGAGCCCAAAGCCGCGGATCTCGGATGTAGCTTGCGCTTTGCAACTGGCCCGCAGCCTCAGTGGGACCGATGTTGCCAGCAAATTGCTCAGCCCTAATCCCAATGCAGCGCCAATGCTGGTGTCGGGCTTAGTGCGTGAAGTGGCACGCTTGGCCAGTCACCCCCATGGCAATCGTGTTGTCAGCGAGCTTGTATGCCATTGCTCAGGCTTAAAGCTTCGTTATGATGTCGATGTGCTGTTGAGCTGTTTGAAGGGGCCCTTGGTGCTTTTTAATAACGACTGTCTCGACTGCAGGGTCGCCCAGGCTACCTTACGAGAGGTGGCGCCGGAGACTCAGCAGCGTTCCGTTTCGGAATTTCAGGGCCAACTCCTCAGCGTCTGCCAGCACCTCCGCGCGGACGTCGATCGTCTCGCTTACCGCGTGCCATCCTCAGCCGCCTTAATCGTGCGCTCGGCATCTGAGGAGCCTGATGTTCCAGAACTCCGTTTTTGTCGCGACAGCGGGAGCCTGGGCGTGAGTCCACCGGACCGGCGCGATTGCAAACGGAGACTTCCTTATGTGCATGCTTACACCAAGCCGCGCAGACGCTCCTGCCATGAGGAGGCTCGCCAACCCGACCGACATGCCAGGTCCGCTGAGGCTGCGTCTCACGATTGGATTGCCGCGGATTGCCCTGCTAAGAGAGCTTGCTCACAGACGCAAGACCCCAGACCAACGAAAAGACACAAACCCAGACACCTTGTTGCCGTGCTTCAGTGCTGGACTCCTGTGTTTATGAATGGTCAAACTGCTGAGTTTGGGATCGGTGTGAGGGTGCCGGCTACTCAGGTTCCATCATCGACTCAGGAGCGTGCCACCACTGACACTAGGCAACAGCCCACAACATGGTCATGCATCGGTGGCCCCTTGAGATGGTTGCGTGACGCAGTGACCCGTTGGTGCACGTTGGAGCCGCGCCTAACCCAGAGCCACGACCCCAGCGTGGGCGTGAGAATCGGGGAAGCAAGCCACCCCGGCCCCGACATGCAAATTGACCTTGGCAACCTCAACGCGTTGTTGGGTCCAGCCATTCTGCAACAGATTCAAGAGCAAATTCAAAGAGCGGTAGCGCAAGCTGTGCAACAGGCTTTGCAAGGTTTGAACCTGGAAGGGGCCTCCTCGGTGCCTGCGTCGCGGGCTTCCGCTCCTAACGCCGCCCGTCCGGCTCCACAAGAGAACGAGGATGAGGAATGGCAGCAACCCAAGCGCAAACGCAGGCGCAAGGGCAAGGGTAGTGGCGAAGGCAGCGTTGTCGCCGCTGTTTCTCCGCCTGCGTCTACGCCGGAGCTCCCGCGTGCAGCCAACCCAGGCAAAGGCCAAGGCAAAGGCAAGGGAAAAGGTGACGTGCCGCGCAATGCGCAACCCTTGTCCGCTGGCAGAGGTAAGGTGCACCAGGCAGGTACAGGCAAAAGCAGAGGCAAAGGTTCTGGCGTGCAACCGTCGCAGTCCGCTGGCCAAGAGTCTGAGTGGCAGGTTGTGACCCGCAAAAGGAGCCCCGCGCCGGCCGGCGACTTCACCCTTCGGCCTGAGGACTGGGATGCTCCTATCGTCACTTTCGAGCAGCTGGCGACTTTCATCGAAAAGGCCGAAGAAGGAACCACGGTAGAGGCTGTCGTGCATGTCAGCAAGGAACAGGAAGCTGTCACTGCCAGTCTCATCCGAGGAGCTGGGCGGCCCTACAAGTTCCTGGTTCTTTTCTTGGACAAATCCGAAGGATCACGCCGGACTCCGGGCACGATTGACGGCAAACTTGTTTTTCGGCAAGCAGTTGTCAAAGAACTTAAGTCGGACGCGGGAGGATCGGCTCCCAGGCCTAAGGGCGCCAGCGCCGCCGCTGTCAAGATGCAGCCGTCCGTTGACACGGTCGTTATCTTCCTTCGAGTCCTTAAATCGTTTGCCCCGACGGACCAATGGAAAGGTTTTGGTCTTAACCCGAACAAGACCGTTGTGCAGTGGGCCAGTCAACACCGAGTTCGAGTGCTTGACACTTTCTCCTGGGCTCTTGAGAAGCCTAGCGCGGCAGCGGGCGAACAGTACTACGGCATGGCACGTGTGCGGAAAAGTGACTTGGAGGCTTTTCTAAAGTTGTCAGGGCAGCAAGGAGTTTTTGTGGACACTGCTCGTCGCCATGGCATCCAGACCAGCATCTCCTGGATTGAGAAGCTGCCGGGCGAAACCACTAGCGCCTATCATGAGCGAGCCGTTCGCCAGGGAGCCGACCTTGGTGTTGTCGTCAAAGCCAACAAGTTGGCGTGGCGAAAGAAGCTCGCTGAGGGTGAAGTCGAGAAGCGCATGTGGCAAGTTGATGGTCTGCCGATAGAGTGGGATGAGGATGGAGTTACGAAGCTCCTGGAATCCGCCTTTGCCGA